TCATTTCACCCTGTTTGTCTTAGTTTCTTCATCTGTAAGATGAGCTGAAGAAAGAAATGGCAGTATCTCTGCCAAAAAAAACCCAAATGGGGTCAGGGAGAGTCAGACATGACTGAAATAACTGGCCAACAAGAGACGGCCAGGGCCCCTTGCTTGGTGCAAGGTGGTGTGAGAAAGGGGATGGCCTGCTTGTTTGAAGGGAGGATTCCATCTGGTGCCATTTTTTTAGGCTGTGACCTGCTTTTCCTCCTAGCAGAGAAGATGATGCCCTGGGATCTGAAGAGCTGCCTTCTGCAATGCCAGGCACTGATTTCTGCTGATTACTTGTGAGAACAGGGGCCCTTGGGGGCATGATAACAATCCTTGCCTGGATGTCTTCAGAGGAGACTGAACTCCCAGGAGTGCGGGCGATCCCAGCATTCACTCACGATCCCAGACACACAGATGAGAGATGATTGGTTTTGTTTGTTTGTTTGAAGCTGGGTCCTGTGTGATCTGGTAGCTGCTGGGATGATGAACATCTTGTTTGTTCTCCATCACCCACCCTGCTGAGCCTCCTCTCTAGGGTTTAGCGTAACAACCCTAAAGCAGGTGTTTACCGGAGGCTGATCTTGCTCACGGTGTGAAATCTCCAACATGCCCATAGGTTCAGAGGCGCTCTTTGCCCCAAAGGTCACCAGCCCAGCAATTACAACACCGCGTGGAACAGAGCCCCTTAAACCACCTGCCTTTAGGAAGAGATCACCAGGCAGAGCCAGGATCTGAAAGGAGGTTGTGTGGTGTGAGTGGTGGACCACACCCATTTGTCATCAGCTCAAAGTAACTGAGCATAAACGCAGATCCTAGCAACATCCCCATACATTCCTTGTTCTGTTGATCATGAAAGAGCCTTGACCCAGTGGGACACAGCAGTAAGACTTCTGGCCCATATTAACTAGATGATACCAGTCAAGTCAAATCCAATCTCTGAGCCTCAGGGTCCTCATTTGTGAAGTGGTGATGCTAATGTTTGTACAACTTGCTTAGACTGTATTTGAAAGCGTGATTTGTCCCTTACTCCTTGTGGGACACTGGGGTTCACTTCTATTCTCTGAGAGTTAGTTTTCCCAACTATAAAATGGAAGTAAGACGTATTCCCTCGCTAGGTTGTTTTAAGTAAAGCACATGATACACCGTGAGTTATCAAGAAAACTGAATGTCATAATGGCACAGTTCAGTCCTGGAGGAGAGACAGGAGAATACCTCTCCCACACTTTCTTTGTTTTCAGTTAGGAGAATATGGAAGTGGAGGTGCTCGTATGCCATTGGACTCATTAGACACACTGCTTGGCTTTGCTTAACTTCTTCGTCTGTCTGTCTGCCTACCTCTGTCTCTCTCTTATTCTTTGTTACATGGGATGATTCTCTGGACAGAGCCATCCATTTGAACAAGTCTTCATGAAGGCTTGTTCCTTTTTTCATCCCTGGTACCCAGAACAATGCCTGGCCCAGAGGAAGTACTCAATAAATGTCTGTTGGTTGACCGAGGTAAGAGGTGGAGGTTGTATTTGGAAATGAAGAGTATAAACACAAAAGTGATCTATCTACATATATGTGTGCATAAGTGTGCATATAGACATGTGCATGCACATATTATACATAGATACATATGCTAAAGGGAGACGTCTATCTAAAGATCTCCAATAAGGAACTGGAGTCTTAGGATTGGGATTCTGGGAAGAAGACGAGATTGGAGAAATGGATGTGGCTTGTCTACAACGACGATCGTTGAAGCCTTAGGAGCAAATGAAATTTCAAAGGAGCAGAGGGTAGAAAGAGGTGAGACTGGAGTCACCTGAAGGAGCCTAGGAAGGCATCTACCCTCAGGTAGCAAAATGAAGACATTGAATCAATGAAAAAAAAAGATGGGGGAGCAGTGTTCAGAGACAGCATAAGAAAATCAAAAAAGAATGTTCAGAACCCTAGAAGGAGGGTCAAGAAAGAGGGACTGGCCAATTCTGTCCAACCCCGTGGAGAGGTCAAGGGAGGTAAGGCCAGTAGAGACACTGGCTTTGGCAAAGATGAGGTGACGTTGGAGAGAACAAAGACGTTGGTTCAGTCTAGCAGTGGGGTCACTGTCACTAGCTTCTATTTCCCTAGTAGAATGCTCTGAATGGTGCCAGGATGTGTGCCTCTCTGTTCAGAGGATGCTGAGTGGTCCAGGTCAATGTTCAGAGATGGGGCAGCACAAACACATCCCACTGAAAAGCCTGCACTTGAGTTCTTGTGGATTTTAATAGCATCTTAATAGTAAGCTCTCTAATTCCATCAATTCTTTTAAGCAAGTTTGACTTCTGAGAGTTAGGAGGGGAAGCAGTAACTCAACAAAACAGCTACCACAGAAGCAGGAAATTGCAAAATCAACACAAATGGAGAGCTGAACCCGGGCCCTCCTCTTGGGTAGGTCTTTTGTGCCCGGAAGTTCAGGGAACCACATAAACAAATGACTCACAGCCACCACCATCTTATTCAGTGCCTAATGACCATTGAAGACCCTGTAATTGACAGAAGTCTCTGGAGCCCGAGTCAGTGACTTCCACAGAAGAGAAGTCACCACTGCCCAATTGGGTATGCATTTGGGAAGTGATCTGTACTCGGAAACCACCTCGGGTGGGGAAGTCTGGATCTAAATCTGGATGAGAAAGAGCTTATTTATGACTTTTACTAGGCAAAGACAAGCAGACAGTGCATAATACCCAGCTGACCAAGTAGCCTTCGTTTTGTGCCCAGATACTGACTGGAGGGTGAACAGTGAGGTAGCCCCGTACCCGTGGAAAGAGGTCTGCACGGAAAAGGGTGAGAGGAGAGTGGAGGAGAGGGGAGGCCAGACTGGGAGTCTGGGAGATTTTCCTCAAGTCTTGACTCAAAGGTTTAATGATGTGTGTGGTTAAACACACTGCATGTGTCTTAGGCAAGACTCGAACCCAGACCCTCCTGCCTCCAAGGCTATACCACCATTTCTGTATCTGTCCCATGTCCCCTACTGAATATCTCCCATCATGCCCTGGATAATGGGTCAAATAGATTTGCGGGCACTTTATGAGTTCTTAATCAGCAGTCATGGAGGGAGATGATGAGGATCTGCCTCCCACTCCACCCCCCAACCAGTACCGCCTCAGCCCCTAGTGCAGACTCTTCTTATCAAGGCTGTCAGTATCGCCCCTTCACTTGTCTCCCTCTCCCTGACCATGTAACCTCGCTCTGATCACAACACTCCCCAATTCAAAAATCTTCTGTTGTTGGAATCTATTTAAGTATAGACTTCTAATCGCAGTTTCCAAAGTTGTCCATAAGGTAACCCTAATCTCTGTTTCCAAACCTACTTCAACCTTCTCCCTATTGTGCAGTGTGCATTCTAACTGACCAAAACTGCTCCCTTCCCTCCCTTCTCCCTTTGCCCTTTCTATTAATTGGCCCTGGGTCTCTCTGCCCCAAGTACAGGACGTAGAGTCCCTCTGCCCCCAATCCTGTCTCCATCTGCTCAAGTCCTTTTTTCCGTGTCCCAACTAAGCTGCTTCCTGGAGCACTTCTGGGCCCTCCCAGCTGAACGCAGCCCCTCCGTCATAGAAGACCTGAGTGCTTGCTTGTGTTTCTCCTGGACTCATGGCCCATACTTTGTGGCAGTCATTCCCTATTTCTCCTTACCCCACCTCCCTGTATTTTAAACTGCTCATAAGCAGGATGGATCAATCTCTGTCATAACTCACTAGGGATGAATAGAGAGCCTTACACACTGCAGGGGCTTAATATGACTTCTTTGAATTAAATTATATTGAGTGAGCAGACCTGTAGAAAGAATTATATTTGAAGGCAGGAAGCAGAATTTCCCCATTTCTTCTAAAGCCTAGTATAGACTGGGAAAACCCAATATGTTATTTTTTCCTTCATTTGAGAGTCTCTCCAGACTATATAAAGACAGCTGTCAACAGCCTCCCCATCTTGTGATCTTCTCCAGGCTAAGCAGACCCTTGTCTTTACATGACCCCCATATCACGTGTCCTGGTTGCCCTTCGTTGGATACTCCCTCACTCATCAATATCCTTAAATGGCAGCTTCTAGAGTTTCAAGCAATCCCTCTGATGGGGTGGTGCCAGAGGGGATCTCCCTCCACCGTGACGGAGTGTCTTCTGCCTTTCTCATTGGCTTTTCTTGGGTGCCACAGGACACTGTGGAGTCACATGGAAGTCCCAGTTTACCAAAACAAATTGCTGTCTAACCACCAATTCCCCTGTCTTTGGCATCTTGGAATTGTCCATCTTTCTACTTCTTCCTGTCTGTCTAGCTATTTTGATTCTCAACTAGACTGAATCATCTTGAAGTGACAATAAAATGTGAGAGAGCTGGCAAAGAAAAGGGTGTGTGTGTGTGTGTGTGTGTGCGCATGCAGGTATCATTACTGAGCAATCCCCAGTTAGGCACAAGAAATACACACAGGAACACGGCAACTGAGACTCTCTTGGGCCTGTGCCTCTACCTGGGAAGAGTGGAAAGGAAAATTCCACTGGAGTTCTGGCATATCTTCATTTCATTTTATTTTTCTCAATCTTCCCCATTCTTGGGGCCTGAGAAAAATCTCACAGCTTAATTTCATGAAGCAGAAGTTGAAATATAGAAATGAAACTTGCGATTGCTTAGTATTTAAAATCACAATTAAGTCAGATTCATATTGTGAAATTCAGATTAAAGCTAAGTGAGGTTTCTTCTGTAATATGGACGATTATTCTATTCCTCTGTGCAAATAACATCGTTTTCATTTAAATTTTGAGAAAAGGGGAAAAAAAATCTCTGTTTTTGGAGGCTCCAAGACTGTGTGAGATGGTGCTAAAGAATGCAGGGGGGACAATTCTGGTTTAAAATATTTATTAATTAAAAAAAAGTTAAAATATTTATTTATACAAAGATGATGAGAAAAATCTCATGCAAACTCTTGGCATACAATAAAAATAACTGAAATATTCACATGATGATTTTTTTTTTTACAAAATAACTCATTTTAAAATTATTTTAAACAAGAAATCCAAAGGATGGTTTTGTTTCCCTCTCTGGGCTTGAAAGCACCTTTCAGAATAATGGGACAGGCATCACCTGTAAACTGCCATTGTTGTTCAAGGTGCATACGTCAAGACTGACACGCTCATCACTGTGATTAATAACTAAGATGCTAAGACGACTACTCAGAAAATGAGACATCGACCTATGAACGTCGGAGTCCTGGAGGCCCAAGAGCGCGGCCGTCTTTCCCAAGAACATATGTGGATGCAAAGCACTCTTCAAACAAAGGTTAAGAGAGTCTGGAGAATGGCAGAGATGGCATCTGTTTCTGCTCAATTACAAATCTGCATTGGATTTATAATTTGTGTATATTACAAGATATTTGCATAATTAAAACAATTAAGGGATTGACATATCATGGCAATTAGAAATACATCAGACGCTGAATGTTGTACAAAAGAGAGCTTCAATATGAAACAGCGATCCTTTGAGATCCGGAAGTCCCCCTGGGCCTGGGAGAGAAGGTCCCCGGCAGGCTTGAGGCTCAAAGGTTTTCCTCCAGAAGTGCTGGGCTCTGCTCCAGGACTAAATCTTCACCCAGAAGCTCACTCTCACCTCCGCTCCCCAGGAAGCCACAGGATTGAGCTGGGGGCGATGGCAGCTCCTTCCTGCAGACTCTTATCTCATTTTGCGGAGTCTGATTCTGTTTTCTTTGTCTCTCTTTTTAAGGAGCATTATGAACTGGTTGAAAAAATGCTCTTGGTCTTTCTTCTTCTGAACAAGCCGGAACCTCTGATCTCGGCCATATTTTTCAGCAAACTCTTTGAATGTTGTTCTGAAAAATTTAAAAACAAGTCCCAAAGTAATTCAGATTTTTCAGTAGCTAACACGAGAGCCATGGGTTTCCTAGAGAGAAGGTTACACTGCAGGAAAATATGAGACTTAAAGTATGGAGCATTGAACCTGAGCCCTTCTTGAATATAGCATTGGGAAATCACTTCCATTCTCTGAGTTCCACTTTCCTGTCTTTCAAATGGGGCTAATGATGCCTCTAATGTCTACCCCCTTGGGTTAATGTGAAGAAAACACCAGGAAACCTGGCATGCCAGAGCAGGAGTTCTTATCTTGGGTCTATTAATTTGTTTTTTGTTTTTTCCCTCTATAAATAGTTTAACTGTATTTCCCTATGCTTGGTTTCCTTTGTAATCTTATGCATTTTTCTTCTGCATTTAAAAAAATGTGATTCTAGAAGGGTTCTGTAGGCTTCACCAGACTAATTAGCAAAGAGTCTCCCCCCCCCAAAAGGCAGAGACCAATCCCTCTTCTATATGACTGTAATCTTTTTGCTGATTATTCTTTTACTAACTGAATCATCCAAATCATCCCCAAAGCCAGCATGGGCCCCTCCTGGATGGTCAGACTTCACGTCCACACAGAGGGGAGCTGAGGCCATCCAAACTGATGTGAACATTTCATCGTAATGGTTTGGAGATAGTTCTGGTCCATGATAAAGAAAACAATAACAACAACCATCATCACCTAAATTCACCTTCTAGGACTCAGAATAGGTAGGTGTCCTGCAGTCTCAGAGCTGGAGGACATGTAGGCCTCTAATCCGATATAGATCTGACCTCGAATCTCTGGAAGTGAATCCAAACTTCACAGAACAAATCCACTTAATAAAAGGATTTGTTCTGTGAGGTTGGACTAAGTCAAAGGGCCGCACTTGAGGACCTAGAGGGCTACACATGGCCTCGAGCCTGCAGGTTCTCCCTCCTCCCCCTTCCTGGCCTAGAGTAAAGGAAGACCCATTGCCTTCCATTTTGAGGGCAGTTCTCTTTGACTGGACGTTTTCCCCAATTTTGAGCCTTAGTCTTTTTCAACTTCCACTCACTGTTTCTGATTTTGTTCCTGGGCCAGGTAGAATGGATCTAATCCTTCTCAATCAAACAAGTGACAAGCACTTTTTTTTAATATTCACTCTATGTCAGCCAATAACCTAAGCACTATGAATACAAAGACAAGAGTAATATGGTTTTTGTTGTCAAGGCATTTCTATCCTATGAGGGAAGAAGAAGGGACATCAGTCAGTCAATAAACACTCATCAAATGTACCTGACATGGATAAGTTAATGAAAGTATGGCATAAGGCCTGACCTCATGATTGTGTTGATGTAAGGAACTCCCTCTACCAATTCTGGAAGATTTATATTTCACATAGCGTCAACTACTCTCTCTCTCTCTCTCCATCAATTTAACTGCTAAGGGTAAAATTATAATGTTCTAATATCTATGTCAATGACTCCCAAATCTCTGCATCTAGCTCCAGTCTCACCTGCACACTTCAATCTGGCATCACCGGCTGCCTAGCCATTTTCAAATTGTATGTTATGGAGACATCACAAAGTCATTATGTTCAAAAAATAAAGCTCATTGTCTTTCCCCTCCAAATCCATCTATCTTCTGAGCTTCCTCATTTCTGCCTGGGCACCACTTTCTTTCACGATTCCAGGTTTGTAACCTTAGCATTATCTCTAACTCTTTCATTCTTCCTCCCCACCCCCAACCAATCAAATGGCAAATCTTGCACTTTCTAAAGGCCTAACATCTTCCCCATCTGACTCATTCTCTCCATTCACACCTACTAACACGCAGACTCTCATCAACTCTCGCCTGAATTATTGCAGCACCACCCAATCAGGGCCCCTTTCTTCAGTCTCTCCAAACTTCAGTCCATTCTCTGCATAGCTACCAGTTACTGTCTTTAAGTACAGAACTCTCCTATCTATAAACCCAATGGCTTCCCATTGCCGCTTGTTTCAAATGTAAACTCTTCTGGTAACCTGTGCCCCCTTCACAGCCTTGTGTGACTCATCTTCTTGTCCCATTAGATGATAACCCTCATCTCACTGTCTGTGATCCAGTCCAGTAACCCTTTTCTGTTCCCTACACGTGACACTGCTGGACTGTGTGCCTCAGGCCTGAAATGTCCACATTCCTCACCTCTGCCTTATGGTATCTTTCTCTTACCCCAGACACACCTTCCAGCACGCCCTTCTACATGAATCCTCTTCTGATCCCTTTGGCTTCCCGTGTCCTCCCTCCTTTGCTTCATCGTCCCCCCCGCTTACACTCTCTGTTTCTAACATGTAGTCTTCTTTGCTAGAATATAACTTCCTAGCAATTAGGAATTAACTCACTTATTGTACTTGTATCCTGAGTGCCTAGCTTAGTGCCTGGAATGGACAAAGGCTTTCATAAATGTTTATTGATTGAGGGAGTCTTGTCTCAGAGGCCAGCTTTCCATCTGCAACACCAAGCCACATAATTAAACACATAGTAAATCTGAAATGATGGGGAGGGAGTGGCTCTAGCATCTGCAGGCAGGGGGCTCAGGAAAGGCCTCAGGTCAGAGGTAATGACTAGCTGAGCTTCGAAGAGAGTGAGGAATTATGAAGCAGAACTGAGGAGGCATCTCTTTCCAGGCCCTGCTGGTGACTTGTACAAAGGCGCAGAGGTGAGAAATCCAAAGCCCAGCTTGAGGAGTCATAAGGAGAGTCTGGCTACATTTTAGAGACCATGAAGGCGAGAAAGAACATTGGAGCCCCAGGTGACATTCTGTCAGTACTTGAAGAGGACTGTCCTCCTTAAATCCTCTTTCCTAAGTGACACATTCCCAGCTCCTTTATTCAGTCCCCATAGGAGGCAATCTCAAGGTCCCTCACCATCATAAGCAGCACCCCTTGGACACTCTCCACTCTATTGAGAAGGAGGAATGATGTGAGATTCCACATAAAGACATAACCATGAGGCCAAGGTCCCATTCACCTGAGTAGGCCTCAATGCTTCTCTCCCTTCCCCTTTCACCAGTGCTGACCGCCTTCTCTCTTTCCAAGGTTGGATGTGCCTCACTATAGGAAAATCCGATCTATGGAAATCTGAGCCTCCAGAATCAGTTTCTGAGCAGGACCATCATTCTCACTGTCACCAGATTATGTCCCTTCCTGATGGATCTGCGGCAGGGCTTCTCTAAGAAATGATTCCTCAGCGGATTAAAAATCATTTGTAGACAACTAATTCCTACACAAGACAGAGGGGTGGGGTGCAACCAGCAAACAAAGCTGGAAAGAATCCATTGGAAATGAGGAATAAAACATTTCTAAAATGGCCCTGTACATCAAGAGGATGATTTGCAAAAATTCAATTTGTTTACTTTGCAGGAAGATGTCATCTACCCCTTGGGGTAAGGGCTGCATTCCTTTGGAGATGGAAGAAATGACTGAGCCCAAAGAGTCTGACTACTAGGGCACATCAGAATGATGGCGAGATGGCTACCTCAGTCAAAGCAGGCTGGAGATGTCTCTGATCAGTCCCCTTCTTTTTGACGGGAAAGGCTAAGTACGTACTTGGGGAGAGAGGGTAGGGGAGGACTGTGATAAAATAATCATTCTTTCCTGAATTTTACTACAATAACAGTTCACACTGATTTAAAATTTGCAAAACGTATGGGAATACATTCTTTTCCCTGGCTCCTCTCACAATCCAGGTGAAGTATCCTAGCCATGATCATCCCCATTGTACAGATGAGGAAATCAAGGCATAGAGAGGTTAGGTGATTTGCCCAAGGTCACCCTATGAGGAAAGCCACCAGCAGATGGGCTCTGCACCCAGATAATCCTAAGTCTAAGTGCCATATGGTGTACCACACTGCCTCTCTCTTTGGTAAGATGGGGCCCCACTACATGGAGGAAAGACTTCAGGTCTTGGAGCTGTGAACATTTGCTCCACAAACTTATGTTTTTGTTTCTGTTGCTAACTTAGACCCCTGTCACCCTTCTCTTTCTCTTCCAGACGAATTTAATGTGTCACCTGCCAGACTTAGCTTAACTATCCCACTTATGCCTCCAAAGTGGCCCCAAGTAACAAGCTGGGTCTGCCTGCTACAAGGAGGCAAAGATGGCGATTCACGGAACTCTGCCTTGCTTTGAAGCAAGAGTAGCTCTCAGTTTGTAGGGAATGGTACCCTGCATCATGCCTGCTAATTACCCAATCCATTCTATTCAAAGGCAGTTACTGTGGTTTATTATAGTAAATCATTAAATAGCAGAGAGGAGAAAGAGGCAGAAAAGAGCTGTTTGGGATCCCAGGGTTCATTAGCATGTGAAGGGTACTAATAATCACAAAACCAGAGGGTTCTAGATTCATTAGGACACTTTTCCTGACCCTGGATTTGAAGCGGGCCCAGAGGGCGAAGAAGTCCCCTCAGCAGTCGCCAAGAAGCCCTTCATCTCCTCAGACTGACTCCTCTTGGCTGCCCCATGGAAAGTCCTGGGACCCCTCACTGATACCTGCAGGATGTATATTCAGTGTCTTACATTTCCTCATCTTTATGCTTCCTCATCACTCATGGTGGGGGAGGGAGGCGTGGGGAGTGAGGGGGGTGGGGGGGTTGTTTCCTGCTGAAAAACTATAATCTTCCTGAGTCCAGGCACTATTTCCATTTGTCTTTGTATCTCCAGCCTGGCATATAATCAGTGATTAATGAATTTTGGTTGAAATGAATTGAATCTGAAAAAGAAAATCTATGGCAGGAATATGGAGACTCTATTTCTGAACTCCAAACTGAGGGATATTCTTGATTCAAAGACATAGGGAAGGTCTATTTTGTTTTCTCAAACCCAGAATTTTTTTAGAAAGTTTGGTTACTGTAGTTTTAGAGGAAAGAACAAGGGGTCAGAGGCTGGAAGCCTGGATCCAGTCAGAAACACCGAGAGCCTCAGCTCCGGGATCACATTGCCTCTGTGTGGCCGGTCTGACCTGCTGGAAAAGCTCTTTTCTCTTCTCTGGGCCTCACTTTCTCCCTCTACTAAATGGAGGGGTTGAGTTAATTGATCTTAATTAAAACTAGGAAGTTCTAAATTGCTTAGTCTTCAAACAGAGTCCAAGAGAGGAATCATATGGCCTGCTATCTGTAGTCCAAATCCGCAGCCTTGGAATGACTTCTTCAACATTAAGGAAGTGTTTGAGGGAGTGAGGCAGAGCTTGTAAGATAGAGTTGCCATATCTCAGGGACAGAAGGGAGTGACCTCATTGGATATTTAGGTAAGAATCTCTCTTAGGTTAGCCCCTCTCCCCAACAAATGGTCCTCCAACCTTCGTTGCAAAGCCTTAGGTGAGGTGAGGCCCTGACCAACAGAGGCTGCCCTGGCCCTTCCCGAGGGCTCTGATTTGGGAGAAGGGCCTCCAGGCCTACTGGTCCTCTTCCCTTCAGTGCCTGCCAAAGGCTCCTGCAAGTCAAGCAACATAATTCACACATTACAGAATTCACTCTAGAAATGCTCAGCCAAGTTAACTCTGGGGCCATGCTCCCAACATGGGAGGGGTGGGGAAGCATCCCTGGGCTTGATTCCCTGGGCCCCTTGGTGACAAGTCAGGCAGAGGAAGGCAAAGGGGGTGAAGTTGGAGTTCACAGGTTTTCCTGATGAGCAGTGGTTTAGGGCTTTCCCAATTGGCCACTGAAGCTGGTGAGTGAGGGGGAGGGAGGCCAAAGGGATTTCTCTAGCCTCCGCCCCACCACCTGGGCTCTTGATTTTCTCCATTGTCATGAGCACCTGATAATAGTGGATGAAACAGCATAGAGATACGATGGACCTTCAGATCATTTGAACTTCTTTCCTTTCACCTGGAAGGCTTTTGGGACTTCCAGGATATGCCATAGGACACGCTGTGTTTTCAGAACGCAGAGATCTCTTTTGCTTTCACAACATTCTCCAAAGGTGGACAGGCTAGGAGAATAACAGTTCCAATTTTGAAAATGTGTAAACAGAGGCACCATCAGCGGAGTGGCTGGTCCAAGTTCACCCAGACAGACCAAAAGAAGGTATCTTTGGATCCTCAGGTCAGCGTTCCACTGGATTGCAAAGCCTCCTTAATGGGATAAAGGCATTCTCAGAAAGATGGTGGGGTGGGTGAGGAAGGCTGTGTCTACTGGGTGTTTCTAACAAAGTCTCTGTCCACAGAGCTCTGGGCAGGCTACAAAGACTGAGGACCCAAGTCAAGCATGCCATTCAACCAATGGATGATAGTAATTGTATTTACCCTTTCATTTATTCCTCTTTTTTGGGTTTTTGCACCCCCTTATCTGGAACAGAACAGGCACGTGATACAAGTTTGAATTTAAGTGAATCCTCACCCACACCTGTGAGGTCGATCCCACTATTTCCATTATGGAGTTGTTGGGCAATAGGCTCAGCACTGAAGTTAAATGCATTTGCTATTTTAACTCATAAAGATTTGAATAGCGAAAGCTGTAAGTTCCTCTTCCTTCCCTGGTACATCCAAGGAACACAGAACGTAAGGAAGGAGGGAGCTAAGCAGTTTGTACATGACAGCTGGAAAGGGAAGAAGCATTCTTCTGAATCGATTAGCAAGACCCTAAAAACTCAATTCATCCTTTATTAATCACTTACTGTATGCAAGGCACAGAACTAGACTGCAAGGACAAGACAAATGAGAAGAAACCCAGACATTGCATTCGTAAAAGGGCCTGGCATATCTGGGACATCCCAGAGCAGCTCCCTCTGCTTCACCATATGCCCACCCCCAGGCAAGGCAAGGAATGACTCTCTGCACCTACCTGGGAGACAGCTTGGACTCCTCTAGGAGTTTTCTGAATTCCTCTTTGGCCAGCAGTAACTTACTTTTCTTTTCCTTATATTCTTCCTTTATTCTGGTTTTGACAAACTGTTCAAATATCTTTGGAAAATCACAAAAAAAAGAGAGAAAAAATAATTAGCAAAAAATTCTAGCTTTAGAATTCAGTCGTTAAGTGCTTGGTAGAGCCCCAGAATAACATAGGCGTGACCTAATAGCACTCCTGTTCTTTGCCACTGCCATTGTCTTGGAGTTCATTTGTGTGGCAGAATCTGACCAGCTCTGACTCTGAAAGTGACTTTCCAACACACACATTGAGACAAGCTGAGAATCCTCCCATAGTATGGGATCACAGCTAGTATCTAGAACCTGTGAGCTCAATGGACCTTGGGGATAATGGAGGCAAATTCCATCACCAAGTGGGCGATCCTGAGGGCCAGAAATCAGAAGAGTCCTGCCCCAGGGGGTCCAGTGACTGAATCCTGAGTCACCATTTGAATCTGGTTCTTCTGAAGAGACATGCAGTCCACCTTCTACAGAAGCTGATTTTCTTATGAACAGAAAGCTGTCTTTTCTCTCAGAAAAAAATGTATTCCAATCCTAGCCTTTCTAATTTTGGGATTCAACAGATATTTCTAACATTTAGGAACACATCATCTTGCCAAAGCATTCAGTTCTTTCTGAAGCATCACAACTCAATTGCAGCATTTAACACCTCCCACTCCTTCCCTGTAGAAGAAAAGGCCCTAATTGAACAGTTTCTTGACAAAGCCAATCAGCACTTCCTTCTGCCAAGTGACAGTAACATGAAAAAGAAAAAAATAACAATAGCAGCTCTAATTGATTCCTCACATTCAGGTTCCAGAGGCCCGTGGTCCCTCTGGACACTCCTTCTGGCTGTGCCCACTGAGGATGACGGCAGTAACACAGCCCTCTCTGGCCTCCTAAGCACATGCCTTTGGTTCCTCTGCTCCCACAGGTGGGAAAATAGCAAGTCCACATTCAACAAGTGGGCAGTACGCAGGGCAAAGAGACTTCAGCATACGGTAATCTAGAGATCGAGAGAGTCACTAATACTGACAGATTAGTTCCCTTCTCAGCTAGATGAGATTGTAGGTTGTGAGCTTTTTTCCTCCTTTTAGGACATGAGCACTTGATCCCCATGAGTGTATGGGTCTGCCCCTGACAAATGGGGAGGGGGTCACAAGGAACTCTTGGTCCTTGGCTGACCGGGAGCCACAAGGACCAATTCCGTTTGGAGGCACTTACTAAATGCTTGGTGATGGCTTCTTGCCTATTGTTTCAGATCGGCATATTCCAGTTTAAAAATCCTCATTATTTGCATAAGAATCCAACCCATTTGAATGACCTGCTTCAAATTCCTACTATTATCTTTTTTCTTTTCCATTCACTTTTGTTTTTGGGTCTTTGTTCTTTACACCCAATATCTAGATGGTGCTTCTCATGAATGAACATAAAGTTTAGGTTGTCCATAAGGAGTCTCAGCCCATTCGTGACATACTCCTTTCAACTGACCTTTTTTCCCCCAACTCATCATATATGTTAATATAACCAGATTCTTTTTAATGAATGGCAAATCTCTACACTTCACCTGTGGGGGAGATGAAGAACCCAAGAGTCTGTCCATTAATAAATGAATCCGATTACAAACAAAATAGAATTCCCTTTCACCATCCTGACTCTCAGGTATGATGGGTAACAAACACTGATGAATTAGAGGAACCAAGATGATTACAGCTGATGTCCATCAAGGAACAACCAATCAACAACTCTAAGAGCAGAATTAGCTCATAGATTATTATGTCTAGATGATTATTGTGTCTAGAACTTGAAAGGACCTCAGAAGTTATCTCATCTATTGCACAAAGGAAACTGAGGCAAGCTCAGGACAAAGAGTACCTTGTCCAAGGTCATACAGATCATGAGAAGTGGATTGAATACTGGTCCTCTGGATCCACATCTAAAACTTCTTTGATTCTTTGTCGCATGTCTTTCTACCCAATTGGAATCTGCTGGAGCATTAAAATAGGAAACTGTGTTCTTCCCTTCATTTTGAAGGATGGATTTTATCATGTTTCTGTGTGTGACTGAGTGTTACTTTCTTTTAAATACTACCAGCTTTCAATAAAGTGCCTCCAAACTGAGACCATGAGCAGGAGAAATGTCCAAGAGGGCTGCTCTCATGGTCACCAATGGACATTTGGCAGCCAACAAAGACCGGGTTCTTGCTTTCTAGTGGTTCTGAGTAAACTTGCTGCCTGAGTAGAAATAAACTCTAGGATCCTCAGCTCTCCAGAACATAACACAATTCATCCTTTTCAGACTTTTCCAGATTAGTCCCCTTCACATGTGTAACACTTCAACCTAAGTGGAATTATCCCTCCTGCTGGAGAACGGTCTGCTGTTTCTTGCCTCCATAGACTATTCCCTATTCCTGGGAGTTCCTTTCTCCCTTGCTGTGCTCATGAATCTCTACCCTCTAAAGCTCCACTCAGTCTTTACACCCTACCTCCCTAGGAAGAATGCCTGATTTTCCAAGGTTCTTTCATCTTTCATCTTGGAAGTCATTTTGTTTCACATCTGACTAATTCAATTAGTGCATGATATCAAGTATACAACTTCTTTGTGTGGATATTTTGCCCATACTCAACTAAGTTTGATGTGGGAAGGAATTGTGTCTTCTCAAAACTATGCATTTCTACCAGTCACTAGTAGAGTGCTCGGCAAGTGCTAGGTGAAATATATGTGTGTATGTATATGTGTATATGTGTATATGTATATATATACATATATACATAAACATATTCATATATGTAGATATACATATATATACATGCATCATCATTAAATATGTGTAAACATATTTAATGAATGAATGTATAAGCGTGACTTTCATGTCCCATAAACTATAAAGACTATAAAGAACTCATGTGTTTCAGGCTTTGGTAAATTACATTTACATTTTTCACTTTTATTATATTCCCGGGAAAATTCCATTTTCTACCATTGTCAGACCTTTGGCCCCACCCCTCCAACCCATCCAGCCTTGGCCTTGGAGGAAATTAAAAAATTAAGACATATTCATCCTCCACAACAGCTCTCCTTTGTAGCTATGGTGAGCATTTACAAAAACACAGTCAAATGTCTCTTTCTGGGGCAGGGTAGGGAAGAAAAATTCAATAAGAGCAACAAAGTGGAGATGGTGGTCCTGATGGGCCTAAAACATTCAATTTCCAAGAACCAAAAAAAAATCCTTCCAACATTATCTAATTATCCAAATGTCTGTGCACTCTCTCTCTCTCTCTCTCTCTCTCTCTCTCTCTCTCTCTCTCTCTCTCTGTCTCTGTCCCTCTTCTGTCTTTGTCTTTCTTCCCTACCATTTCTAAACCATGCTACCTGCTCTGTCATCTCCAGCCTCCTCCTAGAATCAAACCTCAGGCTCTGCCCCCAATAGTTGAACTTTCATTTATCTTACCACACTCCCTCCTGCTCTATCTTTCCCCTCTTTAATACATTGTTTTCTCTTATTAGAATAAAAGTTCCACTTGCTTCTATTTTTATCAAAAACACTTAGAACAGTGGCTAACAGAGTAGGAGAGCTGAATACGTAATTTTCATTCATGCATGCATTCATTCATTCTACATCTAGGGTCCCCTCCATTATAGTTCCAAACGTCACCATCATCATAATAAACAGTAACAATAATGTGTAACAAAGTTATGCTTCCTAATAAGAGTTCTAACAGATACACATCTCATAGGATTGTGGACGAGGAGTGAGACATTGAATAAGCAGCTAGTTTAGGGCCCTAGAAGTAGGTTAGACAGTTTCTAAACCGTCCATTTAGGCAAGCTGATTGCCTGCATTCATTTTTCTAAAGGTAAACAGGAGAAAAAGATTTTTCTTCTTTCCTCATAAGACCTATTTCCCATGATTTGTCCATGATTTTCTGGACCCCACCCTGTTTTTCTACAACCTCTTGAAAGAGTACTAACCAAATCTGAACACAAAATTGCCAATTAGGTTTCATAAGGTTATTGTTTACCTCAGAGAACCACATGAGGAACTTCTACAGTTTTAGTTGAATCTGGTCAACTGAAGAGTTCTCTGGCCCTCCCTTCACACACCTTCCCATAGCTGCAGGAGCACGGGGGTTTGATGAGCATCCACCACCCTTCGCCTCTCTGCTTCCTGATGAACATCAACAGTCCTGTCTCCCGCCACAAGCGAGGGCAGGGATTCCCATTTGCCAGATTTCAAAGGGGTTGGCCAAAACCAATCCTGGTCACAAAGATGCAGATGGAGACACAGGCCCTACCCATGAAGGAATGATGCAGAATGCGTAAATTCTGTAGCTCAGTTATCATTCTCCTGCCACACAAAAAGCTCACCTGTTTGCGCTCATCAGAATTGAGGAGCAGATAACGCGGGTCAAATACGATTTTGTGCAGTTCCTTTTCCCAAGTGGAGAATGCTGACACCTGATGAGAAATAGCAGAGAGACGTGGGGTCAGGATCTGCCAGGTGAAGACACGGGAATTACTCAGCAGTGTCCAACAACACTAGAAGAGAATGACCACAGTGAGATAGGACCACACACAGACAAGGGACACAGAAGACCAAAATTACTCAGAAAGCCAGTGTCTGAAGGATTAGAAACTTTTAAATTGGGCCAGTCACCACAGTATTCTTCCCTGTGACAAAAAGCCCCATGTTCTGTGCTCACGGTGACGGCTCTGCGGGCTTGAACTGGGTTGTATTCACTCATAATAATGAACTGAAAATCTAGCATCTTGAAATAATTCAATCTATTTTTGGGAAACTTTGAATGCTCCACGTCCTGATTCTTTGATACGTCTTCCAGAAGGCACTGGGGTTCCAGAATTAGGGTGAAGTGGGGATTATCTGGACCCTTCACCAGATACGGGAGAATCCTGCCTATAACATCTTTATTGGGACACAAACCATCTGAAGCAACTGGATGAGAACGTAGAAGCATCGCTCGTGCACCAGAGATGGAGTGGGGCGCCAGCGACATGGAAACAACATGGAAAGCAGGCCATCCCCCTTAGTAGTTTACATTCTTTGAGAGAGGCAGCACATGGAGTAAGAGATTTAAAGCAGGTGAAAGGTAATATCAAGTCATTTCAAAAGAACAGAAACATCAAGAACTGGGCAGAACATCAAGGGCCTGGTCTCCCGGGCTGGTTGAGGAGGAAGGTGGGGATTCTGGGACGCTGATGGTGCAGGGAGGAGGGAGGGCCCCCATCCCCTGCAGACATTCTAACTGCACTTGAACCCTGGCAGATCCTGGTTTCTGACAAGCAGGATCAAAAAGTAACTGAAAGACTAAATCCTGTAAGGAGATTGGTTCCAAAAGTATATTCGATGTTGTGGACAGCCAGGCCAGAAGCGCTTTCATAGCCATACATATAGGACTTTGGTCTTAGGGAATTTCCTCAAGGATTTCCTAGGAAGCCTTGAATCCAGCCTAGTGCATCAAGTTCTAAACAGTGGGCCAGGTATGTCCTGAGAACCACTGCACTATGAGAATACTACATACACATCACATACACACTCACACACATACCCATATTGACAAACGCAGACAATTTTGGATTACCAGATACTCGGACATAAAGCAGTAAAGTACCAAAATTAAAAAGCCCAGGACATTAGTCAAATCCACTTCCTTTATCTCTATGCCTCAGTTTCTCTAGCTATAAAATGGAGGCAATCATCCCTGAACTACCCAGCTACCACCTAGGGGTATTTTAAATGGGGTCCTTTTCCCCTACCACTAGTGTGGTGTAGCGGCCATTGGATCAGATTTGGCTCAAGAAGACTTGGGTTTCGGTCTAGCCTCTGACACACGTGGGCTGTGTGACTTTAGATAAGTCACTCAACCTCTCTGTGTGTTGCAGGCCTCTCTGTAACACCAGATGCTGCAGACAAGCTGCTGGTTTGCCTCAGTGAAGGTCATTTGTGCATCAGTGAAATCACAGGTGTGACCATCCCTACCCTACCCCCCAAAAATGACATAAATTGGCAAACAATGGCAATGCCTTTTAAGAAAGAACTTGACGGGATCGAACACTGCCTTGACACAGGAGATGGAGCAAAGACAAGGCCTAGCTGTGTGTTCATAGTCCTCACTAGAACCCGGGCCACACTTTGATCTCAGGAGCTAATCTGTGCCTCTGCTGGTGGCTGGAAAGAATCCTGGCTCCAGGAGGCAGGCTGGCTGGGAGATGGCCATCCAGGCAGGTCTGTGCCCTGGGTCTCCTTCATTCCCATCTTGTTGCATGGAGAGCGCCCTCTGACCAGTCGCTCATCCTCCACCCAGGGCAACGGCTGCAGCCAGAGGGCTCTGCTCTTCAGAGTAGGGAAGGAGCCCATTCAGCACCTGCTATGGGCCAGGACAAGGGCCTGGGAGGCAGGTGCTCTTCTTAGCCCCATTTGACTGGACTAGAGGGGCTAGGTCTGGTCAGTGACGTGCCAGATTGGATAGACTGTTGGATATGGACTGAGGAAGACTACAGTTTAAATATCCTCTCTGACATTGACGAGCCGTGTGACCCTGGGTAAGTCAATGGACCACTTTCGGCCTCAGTTTCTTCACCTATAAAATGGGAATAATTAATAACACCTGGCTGTGAGAATTACATGATGATATAATGTTTACAGAGTCTTTTGCAAACCTTAAAGGGCTCAACAAATGCATGCTACATTAGTATCCTTGGCTGTGGATGCAGAATTGAACATTAAGTGACACAACTGGAGAGAAGCCAAAACATGGAGAGAGACTTGCAGGGGTCAAAAGTGGCATCTTGAAGCATTGTGGATAGTCAACCAACTGGCCTTGGAGTCAGGAAGTCCTGAGTTTGAATCCTGCCTCAGACAGGGACTAGCTGTGTAACTCTGGGCAAGTCACTTAATCTCTCTCATCCTCAGTTTCCTCATCTGTAAAATGGGGATAACACATTGATGGATATGACCAAAGGAAGTAAAATCAAAAGTAATCCTCTGGGTGGGGAGAAGGAACCAGTACGAAAAGCCTACTCTTCCTGGTAGGGTTGACAAGAAGCCAACGGAGAAGACTAGAGGGAAACCTTCTGAGCTTTGAAAGCTCTCAAAGAGGAACCATCAGAGATCCAGAAGCCAGAGTTCATGCCAGGGACTGAGTCCAGCTGAGCCCAGTCTATGAGCGTAGCCCCAAGGAACAGCCCCAGCCTGGAAGCCCATTAACCCCACAGCCAAGGCTTTGGCTCTAATGGGCAAAGGAGTGACTGTCCATTAGCTACCACACATTTGGAAGTGAACTTGATGTGGCGAATGTTTTGTGCTAACAGCTTTAATTTTGTGCTGAATCTCCCTAGGATCAAGTTGGTATAAAGGAGAATATGGCTCTGGGTATTTCTGGGAAACGTAAGGACTTTTGTTCTTGTCATATATTCTAAGTAAATAACCCTGTATAAGAGCTAATAGGAATTAGCTAAAGTTAAGCTGGAGTGTTAATCACCTAAGTGATTTATCAATGATGGGCAATAGATCGGAATGGTATCTCAAGTTGATAGCTGTAGAATCCCCGCCCCCCCACCCCGCATACAAATAAATCTGAGAATGGCTGAACCAAGTAGGGCAGAAGGATTTAATGGAATGCAATTGTGCCATAAGAAATGATGAAATTTCTGAGAAACCTGGGAAAATTTATATCAACTAATTTGGAGTGAATTGAGAACAAGATGATAATTTATAATGTAGCAACAACAATGTAAAAGCACTTAACTTTTGAAGTTAAAAACAAAACCAAAACTCTGATCGACATAATGACTACCAAAGACAGTGCTGGGTGTCGCACTTCATCTTGGCATTCCATTATGAAAATGAATGCAAGTAACAGTCAACAACCTGCTGGCTCGTGAGATGAATGAAAGCCCTGGTGGAAATGACCAGACAATGGGTTGTGGGTTGGGGGGATGGAAGGGAGCGGTAATCTGCATTTCCATGTTATTTGTATTCATTCTCATGTTGGAATGTCGAGATGAAATGCAACACCCGACTCAAACGAAACTGGGAGGTATTGGGATCCTCATTAGAAAAATCTCCCAACCAAGGAATCACAGACATATTGAAGAAATGGTGGAAATTTAGCCAGCTGGCTCTTTTCAATATGACAGATAGGCAGGTCTTTCAAGCAGAGCTAATACCAAATTTACATTAATATAATACTCTATTGGTATTTGGGGTCAGCTTCCAACATAAAGAGCTATAGAGTTTAGGCATTAATAAAGTTAAATGAAATTTCACTTCCATTCCTCAAATGTTAATAACACTATTATGTCTTACAGGAGATGGGTCATGGCCCCAGGTGAATATGGCCGTCAGAAGCAGGTTACTGGAATGTATTCTGAAATTTAGAATTCCACTGCTCGGCAGTATCTGTGCCATCAGGAATGCACACTTGGTTAAAATTGATTGATAAACTCATGCATTCCAATCCAATAGTCAATAACAGCACCATGATTTAAAGTGAGAGGCTATCCACACTCACTGATTTCCAAAGCAAGGGCGAAATTCTGTTCTTTGGAAACTGTAGGGGAAAAAATGCAATTGAATTCAATTAAATTGGATTATAAAACATGTTCCACAGGTGTTGCTTACAGGGTGAAAGCAATGGAAGAAAAAACAAACAAACAAACAAACAACGGCCTCATTTCTCCCCAGATGAATTCTCAGGGAAGAGCTGGGTTTTTCAGAGTACGAGGAATTATGTCTTTGCTTTGTCAGTGAATCATTAATTATTTAATTTGCACCTACTCTGTGTTTAACAATGAGCTAGGAACAGAGATATTTAATGGAGGAAAAAGATGAACACACATTAAACCACTGAATGAGTGCTATGAGGAGAGAGGGAACTGGCAGGTGGATTACTAAGCTGCCCAGTGACCTTTAAGAGATCATGGAAAACAACAAAGGTATAATGTGACTGGAGAAGAGCATATGTCCTAAGTCTACCAAGAAGCAGCCAGTGAGTTTGATTTCAATTCCTGACAAAATTCTATGGTATATTATTAGAGAGGTCATTCACGACCATCTAGAAAAGACGGAATGATCACTAAAACCCTGCATATCTTCATCAAGAATGAATCATGGAAAATGAATATACTTCCTTCCAGTTTTCCCCTTCCTTCCTTTCTTTGTCAGGGTTACTAAGCTCCCAGACTGGGGGAATAAAGACTACTTCAAAATATCTGCTAAAATGACTCATTCTATTCCTGTGGAAAACATGTGGAGATAAGGTCTAGAGGATGGCACAAGGAAGTCGTCTTGTAACTAGCTGGATGGCCACCATTCTCTCCAAAGTAAGTCATTAAGAGCTCCCTATCAACTCAGAAGGAGGCCTCCCGTTTGGGGACAAGGGATCTGGGTTGGTGACAAGGGATCTAAACATATTCATGAGTTCCCTGGATAATTGAAC